ATGTAAATCACTTCTTGGATAGCCATCCCAATTTGATTAACTAAAGAAAATATTAAAATTAAACTTAAAATAGTTATATTAACCTTCATCAACCCTCAACTCGACTATGGCAGACATGACATTTACAGTATTTTACACTAATAGATAAATAAAATTTACTTCCAAAGGTCAATATTGACACAACCCCAAATCTTGATTGACTGCTAATTAACAGAGGAATTAAGAAAATGTTTATTTATTTATTTATTATTTATTTTTTATGGTAAGGGGGATCCAATTTCTTTTGTTAGGGTGTGAATAAAGAGAGAAAACTGTTCCCATCAAGAAGAAAGAAAGAAAAAATAAGAAATATAATAAAAGGTAACAAAATCAAATGTCAAGAAGATGCTCCATCTTTAAGTGAGAGCACAACACCAATTTCACAATGTCTTTACTGGAGGTGATTCAGTTCTCTCCTTCTAATTTTATTCTTAAATGGTTTTCTTATTGACAATTCTACAACTACGCTTCTAGGATCACTGAAGAGCTGATGTACTATCCTCTTCTCAGAGAGTATTTTGACAGAAAAATGGACTGAAGTAATTAGCTAAAGCAATCTCCAGAAATCTACAAATATTCAAATTTAGTTTAGATATTGTTAAGAAATGAAAATCATACAAAACAATCGTAAGGATTAATCATGCTGCAGCAAGAAATAAAAACTATGTTCATGTTAATTTTTTTTTTTTGATAAGTAAATTTATTGAAGAATCGCTCAAAAGGGAAGCAGGTTCCAAGTACAAAAAACAAGGCCAACACGCCTCAAGCCTTCAAAGAGATCAAAAAAAACAACCAACTCTTCTACAGATCCAAAATCCCTCCCTGAAACTCAACAAAAAAGAGTGGAAAGAATAGAAAACTTAAGCATAGAGATAGGCTTTTCCTTTCCATCGAAGACAAAGATGATGCCAATAAATAAATTTAATAAATTTGCAAGACAAAGATGATGCCAATAAATAAAATCAAATTGTGTTTGGTTATTGGCATACCCATTCCTAGAGAAGAAAGCTCGAATTCCTTGTGTGCTTAATATACCTCTGCCAGGTATAAATAGAATATAAGAAAACCAATTAAGAATAAAATTAAAAGGAGAGAACTGAAGAAACAAATTCAATTACTCATGTAACTTTCCAGAAAAATCAATTCAATGTAAAATCTATATAATCCCATAGTAAAGAAATATCAAACCCATTACTCTATTTGCATGTGAAAATTATTATAATAATTTAAGAGTATTTTAATAATATGATGTGAAAATTATTATAATAATTTAAGAGTATTTTAATAACTTTTGTTTTAATAATGGTAACTATCTTTGTATTTTAATTAGTAACTGTTAATTTTTAATTGATAATTTATTTTATTAAAATTATTATTTATTGGTAGTGTGAAACTTTTGACAACCTTGTACGATGTGTTAGTTGTCCTGAAACTTGGAATGATTGATATAATTTTTAATAGAAATTATAAATTATTGCTATAACATCATATTACATACTGTGGTTGTTCTTTTCATTGTGATATGTGACATGAGAGGTTTTATTTTATGTTAAGTTTATGTCGTTATATGCTTTAATATTTTATTTTTTATAAATTTATTTATTTATAAGTTATTAAAATTTGGGACAACCTGAGATAGCTGAAAAATCCGTATGGGTTGAGATATAATGAGTTTCTCTAGATATGGACTTAGTGCGGGCCAAGATGTTAGAACTTTGAAGTTGGCATGGTCTCACTCTTGGCCCGCCCAAATCCTACCCCTAATATATAATAGTAGTAATTGTTTTGAGGTGGTGAACGAACAATCTCGGCCCAAGCTTTGAAATAATCGGTCCAGTTCAGACACAGAACAACTTGGGCCCATGACATTCTACTCAAAAACTCGGTTCTGGTTTGTGCTAAAAATTGTGGTCGGCCCTGCCCAATAAGAGCCTGAGCTACTCCTCAAGGTTTTATAAAGGAATGGCTTAAAACGTTTTAGGGCAAAGTACAGTCACACCCCTTGAGATTTAATAAAAGGATATTCAAATAAAACTTACTATTTTTTGGACAAAGACACCCCTGAAGGTTCAAAAATGGATAAAGACACCCCTTTACATGACAAATTGACCAAATTACCCTTTGACAGTTTAGGAGACTTTTTTAACTTTACAATTTAATAAATTGAACCAATTTACCCTCATGAACAATTTACGCATAAAAAAAAAAAAGTAACAAAAAAAAAAAAACTTTATATTGTTCACTTTAATTATTTATTTATTTATTTATTATTATTAACTTTATAAATGTCCTAACTCTTACAAATGTAGACTGTCTAAAATGATTTTTTGATCCAATACATATATTTCAAATAAATTATATTATGTTATTACTTCTTTTCTTTTTCTTTTTTATTTTTAAATTATGATGCTTAATTCTATCATCTAATAATATTAAACCAATCTCTTTTCCTTAAAAATAAAAAATATGGTACCAATATAACTTTATGCATCTTAAATTATATATCAAATATTATGCATTTTTCAACATAAAAGGGAAAAAAATAATAAAAAAACAAAGAAAAAAAAAACAAAAAACAAAACAAAGGCATGTTTAAAGTTAAGATGCATAAAGCTACACTGGTACCTATTTTTTTTCAAATTGGGAAATGCATAATATTTGATATATAATTTAAGATGCATAAAGTTATACTGATACCATATTTTTTAATTTTAAGGAAAAGAAATTGGTTTAATTTTTTTAGATGAAAGAATTAAGCATCTTAATTTAAAAATAAAAAAGAAAATGAAAAGAAGTACTAACAAAATATAATTTATTTGAAATATATGTATTGAATCAAAAAATCATTTTAGACGTCTATATTTTTAAGAAGTTGGGACATTTATAAAGTAAAAAAAAAAAAAAAAAAAAAAAAAAAAAAAAGAAAAAAAAACAAAGTGAACAATATAATTTTTTTTTTTTTACTTTTTTTTATGTATAAATTATTCATGAGGGTAGATTGGTCCAATTCATTAAATTGTAAAGTTAAAAAAGTCTCCTAAACGGGTCAAATGATAATTTGGTCAATTTTCATGCAAAGGGGGTGTCTTTGTTCATTTTTGAACTTCAGGAGGTGTTTTTGTCAAAAAAACAAGTAAGTTTCTTCTGAGTGTCCTTTTACCAAACCTTAGGGGGTGTGGCTGTACTTTACCCAAGGTTTTATATAGGACTGGGTTAAAAGGTTAAAAAAAAAAAAAAAGGTAATAGAATCTTTCCATTTGGCAATTTTTTAAATTAAATAAAAAATATAAAAGGCATTTCACACTTTTGGAAGAAATTAAAATAATAAATGTTATTCCCTCCGTCCCATAATAAGTGTCATGTTTGGAGAACGATGACTCACAACCGGTAGACTGCTATTTTTATTCTGAACCAGATCCTAGAAAAGCTTACACTTAGCTATTTTGTCTAATCAGATTCTAGGGTTTGTTCCGATAGTCTTCTCATCAAAACGGATTACTGAACACATGGAGTAAATCATGGACACAGAAGGGTATTAGGATTTAAATGGAATAAAAATGGAATAAGGACTTAAATGTAAATTTAATCCATTTGATTTAGATTAGATATAAAAGAGTAAGAAAGTAACTTGATTATTATTATTTTCTTTCTTTTCTCTCTTTTGTTTTATTCATTCCTTTTTTTTTGTCCCCTGTCTATCTAAACATAAATATAAATTAAAACTATTTTTCGTTTCTTTCCTTTCTTTTCTCTCTCGTGAATTGTATCATTTTTTTTCTTTTCTCTCTTTTGTTTTATTCATTCCTTTCTTTTGTCTCCTATCTATCTAAATATGAATATAAATTATAATTATTTTCCGTTTCTTTTTTTTCTTTTCTCTTTTGTGTATTGTATCCAAACGAAGCCTTCAACCCAAGGCTTGGTCAAATAGGGTAAAAACATACACTGTTGTTTTTCATATGAGCAACTTTGAACCTATTCAGGTCATCAAAAAAAACTTTGAACCTATTCAGTGATTAGGTGGTGTGGATTATGGTTGTGCACAGTTGTAGTATGGCAAATACTATTTAAGTACTGTTTAATAAAATTGAAAATTTTAAATACTAAATTTTAAGCAATACTATATTAAAATATAAACACATATGAAATAGTGAATTTTATCAAAAAAATATGTCAATTTAATATTGAATATTAATGTCAAAATTGATCATAAAAATTTCAAAATCAAAAATAAAAATGAATAACTTGTGAAAATGAAATATTTATGAAAAGGAGATTAGAATGTCTTGAATATTTTTTACACACAATATTATTATAAAAGATATTGTATTAAAAATATAAACACACATATAAAATAGTGAATTTTACCAAAGAAATATACTCCGTATCAATTTAATAATGAAAATTAATATCAAAACTGATCATAAAAATTCTCAAATCAAAATAAAAAATGATATAAAAATGAAATATTTACGCAAACGAGATTAGAATTCATGCACAAATCATTTTATATATATATATATATATTTTTTTTATATATATTACGTAGTAGTTTTGCATTATAACAATAGTGTGAGGGGTTGCATTGCATGACTATTTATAATGGATGGAATTGCAAATGGCAAATAGAAACCCAATCAATATGTTTAATTTGAGAAAGGTAAAATTATCATTAGTAAAATATTTTAAAATTTAAAACTGCTAAATGTTATCAAACACACTAATTTTAAAAAATCACTAAATAACAATATCAAACAGTCCTTAATTATTATTAGTTGGTTGAATACATATTGAAACATGGAAACATTTTCACTTGATTTCTCTTTCGTTACAAACACGTCAAAAACTTAAAAGTTTTTTCAAATACATTAAAATTTAAAAATAGAAAAAATGTTCATCGTTGGTTAAAACATCTTATTCAAAAATATTCTAAATCGAAATAAAAGCGTAAGAAAAATAGTTTATATTTGGTCATAATGTTCATATGACCAAAACACGTTACAGCACGTCGCCTACCGAAAATATAGAAAAACCAGAGCTAGTTTGACCTTTGCAAGAAAACCCCAACCAACCCTCCCAAAACCACCACCACCATCATCATCTTCAACCAAAACCTGCAACACTCATTCCTTCCTCCAATGGCGATCATCACTTCTCTCTCTATCCTCCTCATCCTCTTCTTCTCTCTCTCTACACCTTCTCTTTCCCTCACTTCACCGTACCTCTCTCCCACAACCCTCTTCCCAGATTACCAAAAAATGCTCAACTCTTTCAGAATTTACATTTACACCCCTCCCAAGCCCTTCACCTTCACCACACCATCCGAGTCTCTCTTCCACTCTTCTCTCCTCAACAGCTCCTTCCTCACCCAAAACCCCAATCAAGCTCACCTTTTCTTCGTCCCCTTCCCCTCCGATCAATCCAAACGCTCCCTCTCCCGCCACCTCAGGGACCTCAGGATCAACCTCCCGTACTGGAACCGCACTCTCGGCGCCGACCATTTCTTCGTCTCACGCGCCGGCGTCGCCTTCGAATCGGATCGGAACCTCGTCGAGCTGAAGAAAAACTCCGTCCAAATCTCGTGTTTTCCGACCACCTCCGGCAACTTCATCCCTCACAAGGATATAACTTTGCCTCCGATGAGCCCTTCCTTACTCTCACTCCCCCACGCGCCGGTCAACGAAACGGCGAGGTTTGTAGGGTTTTATTACAAGCGGAGTGGGGAAAATGAGTCCATTTTGGTCAACGAATTGAACGGTGATCCTGAGTTTCTGGTTGGATCAGAGCCGTCTGATTATGTGGAGGGCCTAAGGAGGAGCAAGTTCTGTTTGTTCGTGTACGGTGACGATGTGGTCTTGATTGGGGAGGCGTTGACTTTTGGGTGTGTGCCGGTGGTGATCACGGACCGTCCAATTCAGGACCTGCCGTTGATGGACGTGGTGAGGTGGTCGGACATCGCGGTGTTTGTGGGGACAGGTGGAGGGGTTGAGAGAGTGAAGGAGGTGCTGAGTCGGATCGGTGGGGATCAGTACGAGCGAATGCGGGAATCAGGTGTGACGGCGAGTCAGCATTTTATATGGAACGCGTCGCCGTTGCCGTACGATGCGTTTCATATGGTGATGTATCAGCTGTGGCTGAGACGGCATACGATCAGATACGCCCGGAGCGAAGTGGTTTGATAAGGGGATAGGATCGGATCATTTGTCCTATGGCCTTTGCCATTACAACTATTTTTGTTATTTGTTGATTAATCATTTGCGATTGTGTACATTAGTCAATATTTAAATGTGTACGATGTTAAAACCATGTTAATGTCTGAAGGGTGAATTTAGATATAGTTGTATGTTGTTGAACGTGGATTCCCTGCCCATTCGGAAGGATTCTCTTTTTCAGCATGAAAACGATTTTATATATCATTTTAAAGGCACGAAAATCAAGCCAACGACTAGAGGTGTAACGACTAGAGGTGTAACTTGAGTTGGGTACCCTAAACTCAACTTGAGCCAGTCTAATTTTTTATGGACTTGGACAATCATTTTTATAATTAGGGTTGGATTTCAATTCGAATTTAATTAGGGTTGGGTTTGGATTGGAGTGCTAGCAATCCAAACCCAAATTTTAATATTATTTTCATATATATTTTTACTTTTAAATACATTAAATATAATATTTAAATTATGATTATTTATTATTATTATTTTTTTCCAAAATTTTGATTACTTTTTTTTTTTCTTTTCAACTTATTGTATGTTAACATTTATGAGAATTAATTTTCTAAAAATTTGTTTGCAATTCATTAAAATTCTACAAAAGTTTTTAAACTTTTTCTTATTTAAGAGTAATTTAATCTAAAACTAATTCAAGATCATATTAAATTTTTGGTGTAAGGATTAATCATATGAGTAATCTGAATTAACTCGAAATTTTTACCTGGAATCTAAGACTGAGTTGCAAGTCCGAATTTTAAAATAGAAGGATGGGTTGGGTTTTGGTTGAGCAGTTAAGGTTGAAAATAGGGATAGGGTTGGACTTGGGTTTAGCATTTCATTTAGTGGGTTGGGCTCAAGTTGTACCTTAAACTTGCCCAACCTGCTCGAATTGTAGCCCTACCAACGATAGTATAGAAACATAAAGCCAAGTCAGAAAAGACATACAAATCATGAAGTAAAACAATAAAATGAAGAACAGATTCCAAATATGTGGAGAAAACAGAGTAAAACTCTGTAACAGAACCACCATGGGAGAAACGCAACAAACTGGAGAAACGCAGAAAATTTGGGTGATCCAAAAGTCAGGCCATCATCAAAGCAACAACTCCAAAGGTACAGCCACAAGGCGTTCCAACACCCAAGAAACCCCGCAAAAGATCAAATCAAGGAGAAAAAGATCAAATCGAGACGAGGAAAACCAAAACCGACCTAGATCAAAGATCTAGTAGGAGAAAACAACAGCGAACCCAACATAAACAGATCTAGCCGAGGAAAACAAAAAAATGGTGTAAAAAAATACCCACGAAGCGCAATTATTAAAACACACCGAGTTTATTACAGCCGTGGGAGGTAGCTATCATCTCCCCACTCCCATGGAAGGGAGCAGGGAGGCAGAGTGAACAAGGCGAAAGGGTTAGAGAGAGAAAGTTAGAGAAAGTTGGGGCATTCGGAAGGATTTACAGGCATTCTTTTTGTGTGTCAAAATTATTATTCTTAGAGCACGTGTATCGGCCTCACAATATATGCACCATTTAAGTCAAAAGTATTATTCAAAAGCAAGATTTCAAAAACTTACCTCCTGAATCCCTGCCAACGCTGTTATGTCCTTAAAATTTGTGTATAAATTCAAAATTAGAATTTTGTATAGTTTTTATTGGTCATTTTGTAGGAAATTATTGTAAAAAATATCATAGGCAAGGTCTGCCTTCACTGCCCCTATTATGCTTAAATGGAATTATTAATTTGCACTTGGTAAAAGTAATTTTGGATTTCAAGTCTGTAAATTTGAAAGTTTGATATTGCAAAGTTACATACTATATAAAAATCAAAAAAGATTATATGAGATTCAAGATCTTGAAATCATTGGATGTTACAAGCACCTTTGACCAAAGAAAGTTCTACCTTGACGCGCATGAACGGCTCGTTTTGTTTTTCATGCTGATTCATAGGTTTTGGCTTAGTTATAATGAGACATGTAATGAATCAAAATGAGTGTGCTAAAACCTACCATGAGATATTCTTGTACCATAATAATAATAATAATAATAGGCCTAACCTAAGAAATAACAAGAGTCTTTTGCTCAATTCGATTGTAATTGGTTGATACCCTATTCAATTTTTATTTGAATTATTTTAAACAATTGTACTGTACTAATCTATTCAGGTAAATCTGTATTAATAATGGAACTACTACTTCTCTCACACATGTTTTTTTATTAACTTAGAATTCTTCGTGCTTAATAACAAAAGTTATAAATCTATCCAAATTATTTAAATTAAAAAAAAAACCTTTAATTCTCGAATTTAACTTTGTTTTAGGATACCAAAAAAAAAAATTATCATTTCAATCACCAAAAAGACGAAGTGATGTGCAAATAACTTGAATAGGAGCTCTTTGAAATTGTTGGAAGTATCCAAAGAAATAAAAAATGGTGATGAAGTTGATAATGAATGTTGTGGTGTTTGGAGCTTTGTTTAAATTTTTTGTCTTAGGTCTGCAATTGTGCCCAACCACCGATCCTTATACACCATTGTTAGAGAATGGCTCAAAATTATTGTTCCATGGAAGAGTTGGACCAGTCCAACATGCCTATTAGGGTAGGGGAGGAGAGAGAAGAAATATGTAAAGGGTTTAAGAATAAGTGTTTTGAAAGGAGGGAAAAATATATATAATACATGAGTATTATAAAGATATAGCATTAAGAGATCGTGAGTGAGTAAGTGATTGAGTGAAGTTTTGACATCTGATTATATATTATATTCTTTAATAGATAATAGTGAAGTCTCTCTTTCCATCCATGTAATCTTATAATTGAGTGAAGTAAAATATTGTATTGTGCGTGAATATGTATATGTTTCGCACATAAGCTTGTGTGACGATGTGATGACAATATTTCCACTATATGAAATTGAGAAAGCTATGCTTTAACTTTTAACAACCAACTATTGAGGGAATGGAAGAGAGTTAACGTCCATAGCATGAATTTAGTGCGATGGGACTCTTCTATTTTCTTTATCTTCCTATCATTGTACTAAGTCTCCAACTTTTATATAGTGCTGAATTTGCAGTTTCATGATTACATATGAAAGTCATAACCATGAAAGAAGTCTAAGAGAAAAGGTTTCCCGCAATCCAAACACCCTCCAAACTTTTTTTTGATCATTCCATTCCCTTTTCCACTCTGTCTCACACAATGTCCTCTCAACTCTTTGAACCCAAAGATAACATCAATCAAATAGATCCCTAATAGCTTTCATAGAAATTAAACCACTAACAAATTAAGGACAAATATGAGACAACGTAAAGAGTTGTCCCATTCACTCTGGCATAGCATTTGCTTGCCTCTCACATTCTGAAAGTGTGTTTTAATGGACTCAACTTGTTTAAGATTCCAAAGTAGCCCATTTCAACTAGAAAACTCTCCCACTAATGCTACTCCTATTTCTTTCGGTGCTAATATATGGCGACTTTATGGGCGGGTATGAAACACTGGCAAGTTACGGGTACACAATCTCATATCACTTGGGTAAGGAAAAAGTGAAGTGCTTATATGTAGGTGTGTCATTCTAATTGGTATGAGGTCTTTTGAGATAAAGCTCAATAACAAAACCATGCAAGTTCAGGTCCAAAGTGAACAATATCATACCATGTGGTAGACCACCTCGTGGATAAATGTGTCTAGAACAGGTGAGAGACACTAACAAACTATCGCTGCCCACATAAACTACTTAGAAAGTGATTTTATCTTAAAAGAGCATCTATGGAGTCAAGGAGGGGAATAAAAACTTTCCACCGAGTCTATCCATTCTTCAACAAATCAATTCCATACAGCTGACCCCAAATAAGTAGAAAACATATATATTCAAGTCTATCCATTCTTCAACAAATCAATTCCATACAGCTGACCCCAAATAAATAGAAAATATATATATTTATATATATAGATATATTCTCTCAATCTATAGATAAGGGTTAATATTATAACGAACACAATGATGGTTCTTGCAGCATTTTGCTTATGCTCCCTACTTTGAATGTATGCCACAAAATTTAACTTTGAATGTAAACTTTAAATTTAACATCAATGAATAGCAGAAGTTTTTTCTCCACCTAAGCCTAGCTATGGCAAAAACATTTATGGGCTATAATGCCACATACAATTGTTGAGATCCATACAAACTTTCTAAATCAGAAATCACATGGCTTCTACATGCTCGTTTTCATTGTGGACCCCTCATTTAATCTATTGATTGCAAGAAAGAATCCTATGAGCACAATAATAATTGCAACAATAATTAATTTTAATCTACTGCTTGCCTTGAGTAACATCCATAATCTAAAAAGTCAAACTACACCTAGATACTCTGGAAGTTTCCGGCCATTAATTGTGATGATGGGACTCACTTGATAGACGATCCAACGACTGAAAAGTCTCGGTAGTACGATACTCTGGAATTTTGTAAACTTTCTTTAAAAATAGGTTAAAGTCTACAATATCCTATACCATACCTCTGAAGCTCTTAGCCGTTAGATGTGATGATGAGACCTACTTGATGGATGATCCAACAGCTAAGAAGTCCCAGGGGTACGGTACCCCAGGATTTTGTAGACTTTCTTCAAAAATAGGTGAAAACCATATCTTGGAAGTACCATACTCCTGAAGTTCCTAGTTGTTGATGTGGTGATGGAGTACCATAATTTAGCTGGAGAACCATGTTTTATTATCATAATAGTCACAACAACTAATAATATTGCTTATTGACATAAAACAAATAATATACACACACACAAAAAATAAAAATAAAAAAACCATCTAGTAGTACTAGTACTTGCCAAAGAGTAGTAGTAAAAAGAAGCCAAAAAATTGGAACCCAATAACCCTTTTCATTTGATCACTAAATTAAGAAGATACTCCAAATTCAAAGCGGATATTAGAAAGGAATCTTCTTCTTCTTGAGGTTCCTTGAGTGTACTACTTTATTTTGATCATAATCTTGATGCCATGCCACCACCTGTAGTTCTGTCATGCAAGATTCTTCTCAAAATAGTTAAAAAGCAGTGAAGTTCAAACAATTCCCCCTACTTTAATGTTAATATGGATGTTTCTTTTACATAATTGATGTGATGTTTTAATTTTGGTCTCATGAAAATAATAAATTATTCCAATATTCTTGGCTTTAAACATCTTACCATTAAACCCTATGAACTGGAAAGAATTGGTCCGGTTGAAGGAGTGAACTACAATTTGCTTTGTGTGTGTGTGAGAGAGATGTCCCTTTCACTATATATATATATATATATATATTGAATGGTAAAGCCCACATCCGAATTGGACACCAATTCTTACACACAAAAATTTTTAAGTATTCAAATCGTGTTACGTGTCACTCTTATATGCAGAAAGTATTTAGAATTCAGAGTGCATAATCAATATACTTAAAATAAAAAATAAAAAATAAAAAATAAAAATAATGATAAATAAGATAACCTACACGTACACTTATGTCATGGTTGCTTTTCTCACCTACATTACGCCTAACAATCCAAAGACATGTAATGTAAACCATACGTAGAAAAAGTTGAATTATATCATCTCACGATAGCGAACTTACAAAAAAAAAAAAAAAAAATTCATATAGACAACAAATTCCACTTTATTAGTAATTAAAGATCTCTTTTTAATAATCCCAAGATAAAGGGGAACATACTACTGTAGAAAGACATAATTAACCAAGAATCCTCACACTATAAATTAGCTAGCCAATACCCAACGCTCATCACCATCCTCTGCATCTTCTCTGAGTTAATTTGTTCACATAGCTTTCTTTCTAAGTTCATAAAGATGGAGCAAGAAATAAAAAAGAGAAACGATGGTGATGAAACAAGTGAACACGATGATGAGAAGTGGGTGTTTGATTCATCATTGGATCATAAAGGAAGGGTTCCTCTCCGAGCATCGACCGGTGTCTGGAAAGCATCTCTCCTCATCATAAGTAAGGTTTTATATAGATATAGTTCATATAATTTATACGTTACCATGTGTGTGTGTATATATATATATATATATGATTCGTTGAAGTTTTTCTGAATCTTGTTCATGCTTGAGCTTAGTGTTTTGTATGTAATTTTTTTCCAGCAATTTGATAGTGACTGTTCATGTTGCAAGTTTGATTCCATTTTCAGTTGGTTTAGACAAAGTAAGGCAACATACTAAGCTAGCTTCATGTAAAGATTTTTACCCTTTATTTCTTTTTCATGGCTTGGCATGTGAGGTCATTTTAGTAACAGAAATGTCTTCTGGTGATTCAAAACTGGTTTAGTTTAATTAGTTACTAAGATTTATGATCTTTAAATGTGTAGTGTTAGAGATAGAGTCCATCTTTCTTCTTTTTTTTTTCTTTTTTTATTTTATTTTATTTTATCTACATGCTAGCTTGCATTTTTTAGATTTATATATGTTGGTATTTTTTCCCTCGCTTCAAAATCAGGGATCATAAGTACTGTGGAGATATTTGGTTATGGTAAATGCACATGTCATATTAAAGGAGGGCTCCACAACATCACATTGTGTCATGTTGAATGGAAAATAAAAGTAACTTTGAGAGAAGTGAGCAGATATTTATTGGTGGGCATGTTTATTTTTCTTTGAATAATGCCCTATTATGGACCACAGTTTCGGAAAAATTATTATATAGTTCGGGATGATATAATTTCAACTAATCATAATTTATCACGCAAATAAATATAATAGTTTTATTTAATTTTTTGGCGGATTGTGATTAAATTGTTCCATATAATTTCTAACCATATAATAATTTCTCCATTACCGACTCTCCCCTTCCTAGTAAGTGTCGGAGGGAGTCAGGTCATATGTTGATTCAAACTAGGTTATCTATTGATTCGAGCCAAGCCGACACGCACATGAGATCATATGGGACCCACCACAGTTGGTCCCACATATTTTTTGGTGAATAAAAATGATTAATATGAATGGATGATTTTAGTGTTTCAATTGATATACTTAGTTTTTATTTTTATTATTATTATTATTTTTTTTAATCAAAATTTTAGAATAATTGTTAATTTAGTTCTATTGCTATCTAATTTTGTTCTGTTACTATATTTTCCTCTCGGTATAGCAATTGAGTTCAGTGAGAGGCTGGCCTACTTTGGAATAGCTACAAATCTCATCACATACCTCACCGGAGTGATGAAACAGGATCTCAAAACAGCAGCAAAGAATGTCAATTACTGGTCAGGAGTGACGACGGTGTTGCCACTGGTCGGAGGGTTCATTGCTGATGCCTACACTGGTCGATTTTCTTTAATCTTGCTATCCTCCATCATCTACCTTATGGTAAATCTCATATTATTATCATCTTTCAAACTAGAAAATGATCAAATGTTGTGCATTTGAAGTACTAATGTAAATGAAACATGTCTACAATGGTTGCTGTGGTACATACATAGGGTTTGTCCTTCTTGACAATTTCTGAATTCATCCCAAGCTTAAAGCCATGTGATACAGAAGTGTGTTCCCATCCGAGGAAGGTTCATGAAGTGGTCTTCTTCTCCGCAATGTACTTCATCTCTTTAGGAACTGGAGGACATAAACCATGCTTGGAAAGCTTCGGAGCTGATCAGTTCGATGATGATCATTTGGAAGAAAGGAAGCAGAAGATGTCTTTCTTCAACTGGTGGAACTTTGCTCTTTGTTGTGGGCTGTTGCTTGGTGTAACATTGATTGTTTATGTTGAAGACAGTGCGAGCTGGGGTGTTGCAGATCTTATTCTCACTGTTACTATGGCCATTTCAGTCATAATCTTCTATTCTGGGAAGCCGTTTTACCGATATAGGGTGCCAGAGGGCAGCCCTTTAACACCCATGTTGCAGGTTTTGGTTGCAGCCATGACCAAGAGAAATCTAACCTATCCTTCTAGCCCTGCTTTGTTACATGAAGCTCAGAAGTCGGAGAAGTCCCAAGGGAGGTTCCTGTGTCATACAAATAATTTCAAGTAAGAAAGTATGCATAATGAATACACTTCTCATAGATGGTTTCATATTGTCACATTCATTTGAATCCAAATACAGTAAACATTTTGTGATAGCATGAAATCATGTTAATGACACTTTCTTTACTACTTTTCTCCCTAAATGGTAGCTCGGTTACTCTATTCTAGTTTTGCATTAATTCTGGCGGATTTTGATCTACAGATTTCTTGACAAAGCTGCAATAATTGAAGACGACGAGAATTCATCTGTGAAGAAGAAACAAAGTCCACGGAGACTAGCAACAGTGACAAGAGTTGAGGAATTGAAACTTGTACTAAACATGATCCCCATATGGTTAACTTCCTTAACATTTGGAGTTTGTGTGGCACAAGCCTCAACATTTTTCATCAAACAAAGCAGCACAATGAACAGAAAGATAGGTAACAATTTCGAGATCCCACCTGCTAGTGTTTATTCTCTCGCGGCCATTGGAATGATATTCTCAGTCACCGTCTATGAGAAGATCCTAGTTCCGATACTAAGAAGAGCCACCGGCAATGAAAGAGGCATTGAAATACTCCAGAGGATTGGTATCGGCATGATATTCCCAGTTGCATCGATGGCTACTGCAGCTTTGGTTGAAAGCAAGAGGCTAAGAATCACAAACAAAGAATCCATGAGTGTGTTTTGGCTAGCTCCCCAGTTCATAATTCTTGGTATAGGAGATGGGTTCACTCTGGTTGGCTTGCAAGAATATTTTTATGATCAAGTTCCAGATTCAATGAGAAGCTTAGGTATAGCTTTCTATCTCAGTGTGATCGGAGTTGGGAATTTCTTGAGCAGTTTTCTGATAACTATTGTGGATCATATCACTGAGAAAGGTGGGACTAGTTGGTTTGGTAAGGATTTGAATAGAAGCCGATTGGACTATTTCTACTGGTTATTGGCAGCCATGAATGGGTTGAATTTATGTATATACGTGCTCTTGGCAAGGAAGTATACTTACAAGAATGTGCAGAAAAGTGTGGTTATGACTGATTTCTATGTGGGTGATAGGACTGGGTCAATGGCTTGAGTTTCTTATTTTTGGGAAGTTAATGGCTAGACTCTTTTCTACTTCATAAGGGGGTGATGTTGCTTGCTTTCCCATGATCTTGAGAATTCACAAAGCAATTTAAAGCTTTGTAGATTATGTTGTGTACCAGCAAACTCTTGCACTACCAAGGAGCCAAGAGGGGGATCTCTCTCTCTCTCTCTCACACACACACAAACACAGCTCCACCTTACTGGGATTACTCGTTTTCTTATTAACCATTCACTACTATTATGTATTGTTCCTCAGTTGGAAAAAACATGGATTCAATGCACTTCTATATCATGCCAATGATGCCAAACCTTCATGAAGTGAAAGTTAGGAAAAGGAAATTTTTTAAATGAATCCTTCACAAGAATTTTTGCTGGTTACTGATTACATGCTATTAGACATTAAAACAAATTAAATTGGTTGGTATAGATCAAAAGAAGTAAGGAGGTCCTGAGCATTATAACCCATGACATATCCAAGTCCATCAGTGGTTGTAATTTAGTTGTATCTCTTATACCCCCTAAAGTCAAATACTAAGGGTGCATAGGGACACAGTGCATCTATGAATAAATTACATATCCAAGCTTATTTATCCTTTCTAATCACTTGTCTATTTCGCTAGGCTCATCCATACACAATAGCATTTGCATGTAACAAGCGCTATTCTATTTTTCAAACCAACATATACCACTTTACAACCAACCATAATTATCGATGAACCAGTAATGAACGTCCCAAAGCTTCCACCAACCTTACTTTTGGCTTAATTTTCTTCCGCGTGTTCTTAGCACATCCCTAATGATAAAAGAAACTGAATAACGGGAACACAAGAGACTGGGTCATCACTGGACAATCATGAAAATTAATAGGATCGGTCATTGATCTATGAGTTAAAATTCTTTTATAGCCTCACTAGTATGAACAAAGGTCTTGTACATAAAGAGACCAAAAATACATAAACAATTTGTGCATGTGATTACCAACGGGCCAGTGGCCTAGCGGTATCAGCCTTTTACTTCCCAAAGAGAGGTCAGGGGTTTAAGTCTTAGAAGAGACAAGTGTGTGTGAGTACCAACTAGGAAAAAAAAAATTGTGCATGTGATTCATTCTTTTGGTGCATCCCAGGCAGAAAAACTGAAGCATTCATTTGTTTCCATATAGTACCTTAATTTTTAGGATTCTCATACAACTCTCTTTAATATGAATTAGCTAAGAACAATTCGTGTTGTGCAATTAGACTTGTATATCTATTTTCATTAGCCAAAGAGTTCATGCAAAATGTCTTCAGAATCAGCAAATAGAATATGTTTATCTCCTTTATCCTCGCTGTTCATCACTTTAATATCAATATTACCAAGATAGTTGTAAGTTTTCCATGCAACCAGACTGATTGCTAAAGAGGCAACTAGGCAAGTCAAATGAATCAACTGAACCATTAAAATTTTCCGGAGAAACACCAGAACTTAAAGATGATATTACAACATGAAGAGAAGCTCAAAAAATGATGTTGGCACCATGAAAAATGAAGCTTTCAGAGCTAGGAATGAGTGGTACTTAAATTTCAAAACAACATCCAACACAAATTACACAATCTATACACAACTCTCCCAAAGCAAAAGATATTGTTCAGCTAAATTAATCAACCTATACAAGCTCCACATCCACCTGACAATGTCTCTTTTTTTCCCTTTTAAGTATTTTTCTCACACTTTTTACCCTCTCCCCTTACCTATAATAGCTACCACTAGCCACCGAGCTAGAGCACTAGTACTAAAACCCCTCTTTGCTACATGACAACAAAGCCACAAATGAAAAACAAATTCAGAAAATAAAATAGCATGCAGCCAAAAACAATCTACTCAAATGAAAAATGAAAATTGAAAAAGAAAATAATGAAAAGAGTAAGCTCTGCTAACGCTCACAGTGATTGACGGAGCTGCTGGGTTTCTCTGCGAAGAGACTGAACTTCTTTCATAAGTTCAACTTGGTTTTCCAGAATTGAGCTCATTGCGCTTGACATTTCCATCTGTGCAAATGATTCCATGAGCGAATCAAGGGAAAGAACACCAAAAGAGTATATAACCGCAGGATTGTACCAGATATATACCTCCTGCATATGAAATTGCCTTAAGATTTCTATATGAAGATTCCTCATATCTTCGTGAATGGATTTCTGAAAGGAAGTAAGAGTTTCTTCTAGAGTGCGTTGAAACAGCTTAAGTGTAAAAGAAGTTCCCTGCTGTGACTCAGGCTCACACGGGATTTGGTGCGGTTGGGTAGCTCCACCCTGTGACAATATCACACATCAATTAAAGGGCTGAACCATATTAAACTAACAAACTATCATCAAGAACAACTTCACCACTTAGAGTGAAAGGCAGCAGACAATCCTTTGTCTCTGAAAAGGTTGCATGGTCAAAGAGTATTACGACATATAAACACAATATGAAAAGTTCACATCTTTCTTAATCAAAAAACGTTCCTCGTAGGATGCAGGCAAAGGCAAAATAAAAAAATGAATTGCACCCATATAATAAATTCATACATTCATAGCTGGAAGAATCTCTGTGTCCGTGGTAGATGATGTGTCAGACCTAGCCAATAAACTATGCAAAAGTTCTTCCATTGTTTCAGCTCCTGTTTTCTTGGTTTTTGGTGAACCCCCTAAAGGGGATGTTCCGCCACTGAAAGATGGAGTAGCACTTATTCTTTCTGCATAAGTGGAAAATCTCCGTGGGAGGGTCAATGCCGGTCCTAGAGATTCAAGGTTAGCCTGCCCTGTAATGCCTTTTGTACCTAGAGAGAGAGATGTGGTAGTGGCACTAAAGGGAACGTGTTCTGAAAATACTAATGAAGTCTCTTGACTTGAGGAAGTGCCTTTGGTGTGCAAATTCGACAAGCTCAGGTTCGAACTGGTTAGGGAGCTTGTATTCATCTGGCTTGTTGACAAAGTATGATCCTGTAATCCAGAAATCACTGATCCTGATGTCAGACTATTAGATGTCAACATCGCAAAACGAGATGGCAAATTGACTGATTGATGATGGTGGGTGAATTTATCAGATAACCTCTCACCACCCCAAGCTTCTGGAGGAGTGATATAAGATGAGTCATCACTGTTGGAAGACGCAGTAGGAGTAGATCCCAACTGCGAAATAGAACGGATGTCATCCTGCACAAAGTTCTGATAAATTAAAGACTATTTGGGAAAATAACCTAGTGCCTCTTTAAATGAGTAATGTAGAGAAAAAAACTTCCTGCAGAAAATCCACTGAGACCATTAAATTGCTTTCAAACTAATATATACAATCACTGAGATCATTAACAAAAGAACCAGATTTTACTATTTCTCCAGAATCCATTATTATTACTGTATCTATGAGAAATGAGATAAATTTAAATCTATGCAGGTTGGTTATAGATATGAGTGACATATTACACTGAAATCAAGGATATATTTCATAGCTTGTGCTATGGACCAAACATATATAAACTCAGAAAAATTCTTTCATTTTCTTTTGGTTTTACCTTATTCTGCTACAGCCATGACATCCATTAAACGCCTCTCATTCATAAAATAATTGATTTTTATTTTTTTTTCTCACATCTTTCAGATTTATAGCAGCTCAACTTTTTGGTTGACTTGCATCATTACGGCAAAGTATTGCAAAAAGTAACATTGAAAAAATAGAATTGAGGGCTTTTAGTATTTAACTTGTTAGTTCAAATTATTACATCCTAAACATAATCATCACACACACACACACCATATTGCATGTTTACTATTATTTGAAGATAAATTTGTTAGATGCAGCTGGTTTTGTTTTGCTGCTAGATTAGAACATAAACAGATGCAAGTAAAATTTAAAATTGAAGGAGTAATGGAAATGTTTGGCCTTATTATGCAATCATCTTCAAGCATCAACCACTTCCATATATGCTGAAAGTCAAGATGAAACATACAGTTATGCAGCACACTACAAACTGTTATTTTCATTTTACTTAATGCAGCTTCATCAGGCTCACTTTCTAAGGATGATTATAGATGTTTGATATCCAAATCTGATATATTAATTTAGTACAGTAGAGTACCAGTGCCTTGATGAATTGGAACATACTGTATGTAGCAAAATTTTCTTTTTGATAAATCACATGTAGCAATGTCATTTTACACAATCTTTCTGTGTGCTTTTCACTACAATTTTTCACAAAATTTTCTATTGTTTCTTTTCTTTTCTTTTCTTTTTTCTTTCTTCTTTTTCATATTTCATGTTATCTGAACATTTTGACTACGGGTATTTCTTAAATGGAATTGTTGTGAAATTTATTTATAAATGAGGGAAAACTCCGACTGAAAGAAAAAGTAGCTAGTCTAAAAGAATCCAAACAATTTACTAAGAACTAGAGGCACTAGGATTCTACAAAAATTAGGCATCACCAAGGAAGCACGGACACGCCTCAAAGGTCAAAAAATTTGTGCCGGACACATATCGGACGCCAACACACATCAGACACAGCCCAACGCATGTTGGACATGCCAAAATACGTGTATAGAATTTATTTTATTTTTTAAATTCTTGGACTCGATGCAGACACGACATGAACACGTGTCTCGCATTGTTAGGGAATTTTAAGAAGTTTTAAAAAGAATGATGGGCAAAAGTGTAAATATGATGAGTTCTTGAACATTTTTTAATATCGGTCATAAAATAAGATAATTCAAATTTTTGGTTTAAGAAACAATTATTATAATTGTTGTGGAATAGATTCCCTTGTGCAGTTCGTTAAACAATAAAAAAAAGGCCAAACCCAGTACGAGGCTCCCTCCATTGCGCGGCCTAAGAAGGGCCAAATGTATGTAGCCTTATCTCCATATGTGGAGAGGCTATTTCCTTATTTTGATATGTAAATTTTTCTTTTTTAGGTTAATGAAAAATAATATTACTCGTAAAATATAGGATCATGAATATAAAAGATATACTTATTAGTAGTTGTGTCCCCGATGTGTCCGTATCTAAAATTTTTAACCATGTTGTTGTGTCCGTGTTGTATCCATGCCCCATATCCGCATCCACGCTTCTTAGGGCATCACTGACTAAAAGTTCATATATGATCCTTAAGAAGTCACATGAAAGACATGATGTTATAATGTACATTCTTCATCCAAATTACTAATATCATGTAACAAGCAAATAATATGTGCCCTTCAAATTCATCAAAGAGAGAATAGCAAACCTGCTTCGATTGTGAACTAGATTTCCAGTCAAAAATTGGATGAAGATCATTTGCCCCTTCATCCGAAAGAGGGAATCTCCTACTCGAAGGAAACAGCATAGAAGGTTTCTTATCCATGGTAAGATTATCTTTCTTTGCTACCCCATGCTGATCCCACAGCTTATCAAAAGAGGGTGTAATCGGCTGAACTTCTACAAGCGGGGAGAACACCTCCATATCATCCTTGAAGTTATAATTACGAGGAGCATGTAATCTTCCCAAAGTTCCACCAGTCCACGAAGTGCTTCGAAGTGGTGAATTCTCAGCTATAGATGAATTGAGCATGCTTGATATAGATCCACTGCCGGTTGCTAAATAGGACAATGAATCTACAGAGGGACCTGCACGACCAGAATTTCGAGAACCAGATACTGTGGTGGATATTGAAAGGCTTGATGGTGTCACAGAAGGGAGCGGATCAGGCATAAGGATTGAATCTTCAACGGCACCTCCTAGAAGAGCAGTTTCAGATGTGCAATTGCTTTCATTTACAATTACAGGTTTTGATCTTTGCCAGCATAAGCCTATGACAGCCTGAGGAGAATCATAATTTATTATTTATAAACCTGAGGATAATTAAGGTAATTTGAATCACTTATAGCTGTAGTATCAAGATAAACCATTTGTTAAGATTCGAAACTCTTGGATGGACCAGTGACAAACAGAAGATTACGTAACCACCCGTAAAATAAGATCATCAATTTTTTCATATATAATTATAGCACCTACTGGTTCTTTGTATTGATTAAAACTAAAAAATTATCAAAGTATAGTACTAGTTAACTTCTGGGTCAAAAGCCATCCTATAAGTGGAACACCTACTGAATCACCTAGATGGGCAAAAATGGGCATTACAAGTACAGTAGCAGGTTAAAAGGACCTTCCTCCTTGATTCCTTGAAAGCATTATTTATTTTCTCCCTAAATAAATAGTTGTTGAATCAGATGACCTTGGAATTTACAAAAAAAAACAAGGTTTCTATTGCCTCAAGGAATTCCAATAGGTTTCCAAACACAATATGATGATATTGTTGTTGTAGATTTTTGATATTAAATGTTACTTAAAACTGTCACACTAACCTCCTATATCTAAAAGTGTTACAAGCATGCATAGAGGTTTAAAAATGAACTTTTGACCACTAAATTTATATGTAGTATACACAACGGCGATATTCTAAAGAATGTATCATAATTGCAAATTCAAAATAATATAAAGGTAAAAGAAAATTCGTTTGATGTCAGAAGAAAGGTTTTGGCAAAAATGCAACTCTACTCCCTCGAGGCTCAAAGTGTTGAAAATTTGGGCATCAGAAAGCACCCAGGTTAGATTAATTGAGATAGAGAAACACTTAAAAAATGGAAAATGGAAAGAAATGATATTAAAAATACAGAATACAAATATTGGTATATTGCATCTCCTTAGACAGAAACATAGAATCACTGCATCCAATCTTCATCAAGATAATATCTGGCTAGGTAAGTATTTTCTTTTTTTAAACATTGACAAACTTTCTCTGACAAGTAAAACTTTTGGCATAAATTTGGGGGGTAGGGTGGGGGGGAGTGGTTGTGAGGAAAAAATAATTAATTTAATTTGATATTTGTTAAAAGATGCAATAATAAGGTATTATAATAGTTACACACTAAGTCGCACAGAACGGAAGCGGGAGTACGAAAGCGGCAAAATCCAAGTCATACAAAGTGGGAATGGGAGCAAGAGCACAGGGAGCGTGATAGTGGCACCAGTTTAGAAGAATTGTGTGACACAGGTTACACATGTTTATATGCTACTGCAAGCAAGATTAGACGAAAAGGTAAGCAAGTAAATGAAGAACAAACTATATTCAAACAACATGTTGACAAAACAAATCCACCTCAGAATTTCCATAAGCACGAAGAACAGTGAAAGGTTGTGGTTTTCCACGAACATCATAGAATACCACCCGGCCACTACTTGTTCCAGCTGCAAGTATCCAACCATCATCTCTGAATGCCAATGAAGAGAAAGGTGCCTCGTAAGGAATGCAAAAGGAAGGTCTCCTAGTCCCCGAGTCAAAAGTGTATAGCTTTTTATCCAAACCGATACTAGCAATTACCTGCCAAGGTGCCATGTGAATAAAAGATAAGAAAAGACAGAATGGTATCCCCACTTTAAAATGCTAAGAAACTTCAGTCAAATGCATCTAAAAGATTCAGTTTCTTTTTTCAGTAAGTAAACTCAAAGTTTGTTTTTTTCTCAAAGTTTTAGTTTCCTTTTCCATATAAATATGAAACAAGGCATAATACATATAATAAATACGATACCTTATCATTTGATGGGGAGAAACTAACACCAGCAGTTGGTGCAGAATGCTGCTTCAACCAAGAAACCTGTGAGGTGCAAAAGGTAACCACTTTAAAGGTCAAAACATCTTACGTTGACAAAAAAAAATGACACAGGGAACTAAAAGAAACAAATCCAATATCCTATATCAAAGTATCAAAAGGGGGTCCCATTCACAAATTCAAGAAACATGAATCAATGCTGTTAAAGGTAAATAGCATTTTTAGGAGTTATACCCAAGGAGGGAAAAAGAAACAAGAAAAAAAGATTTTGAAATCTTCCATTATCCTGGTTGGATAAGAAGGCGATTAGAAAAGTCAAGTAGCAAAGTGGCCATTATTTGATGAAGTGATAGAAGCTCATTTTGCCAAGCATGAGAAAGCAGTCTGAGACTAATGGCAAACAATTTGTTTAAGTAATATCAAATGTTAGGTCTGTATCAAGTCCATCCCTCCAGTATCTTCTATTAAGGAAGACCATACTAGGTAATGACTTTTAAAAGTTTTTTCTTACTTAAAAGTCGCAAACACAACCTAAACATTGTCAAGATACATAAAATAAATTTCCATTTTAGTAACTCATGTGGTGAAATTCGGGTTCCTCATCTAATCAGTTAAAGCATTAAATATATTGTATTACAAACCTTTGGGCTTCGACCAGTTGTATCCCACAGATGTACAGATCCATCGTCACCAGCAGTCACCAAAAGGTGTCTGCTAATCCGAGAATAATCAAGAACTCTCAGCACCTGATCACAGTAACCATCTGACATATATTTAGCATATCAAAAAAACAAAAGTAAAATACAAACACCAGGAAGCATTATCCAGAAGCTTAGTGGTTTCACACCAGAGATGGAACGGAATAACAACCTGATTATTAGGATCCTTCAGTTCAGCAGCCCTGGAACCAGAAGCAAGGTTGTGAAGAATAAGATCCCCATTAAGACTGATGGAAGCCAAGTGCTCGTCTTTGCAATTGTACATTGCACCTGTTATTGTATCAGTATGACCCTTCAACCATTTGATACATCGTTTCCTTTGCAAATCCCATATTCTTACAACTTGACCAGTTCCCCCAGAACATATGTATCTAGATCCCTTGTTGCTAAAGCTAATGACCATTATAGACTCCTTCAGATGAAAATTTGTTGATAAATAAATAAGAATTGAACCAGAACTGACAAACCAGATTGTAAAATATTAGTCAAAGGCATTAACAAATATCTCACATGAAAATAGTAAACAAGTATGTGGGCAAGCAAACGAGTAGCAGTACATGTGGACTGTATATTTGTTATGCAGTTATGTATTCAACTTAATAGTTTTCAATGACGGCAAAATTTGGCAGGAAATGCTTCGCTATTGTGAAGTGGGGACTTCAGTGGGCAAGAGCAACATACAGAAAACAGAAAGCTATTGATGTTTGTATAAATGTGACCATCTAGATCCAAATTAAAATCTCACTAGGAATCCTTTTGTTTTGACAACAACTGGCACCTAAATATGTTTTCCAGAAAATTTTCTTCAAGGCTTTCGTTATCTTGATGAAAAATATTTATATTTTGTTAGATTTATTAATATATGTCTAATTACACAAATTTTCTCAAGGTCACAAGATTTTTGAAAAAAAAAATTGCCAAGGGAAATTTTAGTGAAAATTTAAAGTTAAGGAAAAAAGAGTTTTTTGAAAGATAAACAGAGAGTTGATAATCACTCCCCAAGCTTTAGAATGAATTATTCATCAAAATAAATGGAACAATAAATAAAATAATGTCAAGTCAGATAACTTCAAAACAAAATATTATCCAGTAAAACAAGCAGAGCAAGCAAAAAATTCCCCTCAAATATTTCTTTTGAAAAAAAAAAAATATTAGAGACTTATAGATTAACATTATCACTCCTGCAGCTAATGCATGACATTAATGCATTTCTTTTTATCCTCATGGATGACTTTTTTTTTTTTTGAATTCCAAAAAAATATAAACAATCATACGCATAAACATGAAGAAATACACAAATGAATGCAAATAAGGTGGGTCTCACCCTAACTTAATTTCAAAGTCTGTTCACTAATCGAGTTCTCAACCATACTTCATTTTATTTTATTTTTTTGGAACAAAATATAGCCATTGAAGCGTTGGATGAGAGTAAAAGTCACCTCAATGTTAACACTGTCAGAGCCGGCAACGGGAATGGTCCCCATGCTCTGCCCCTTTTTCTGCCACAGCGATATCTTCTTATCGTTCCCCGCACTTGCCACAACCAAATCTGCAACAGTTGCACCAATTTGGTCACCCAATTCAGATATAATTGAGAAAAATAAACATACAAATCAAAACCCTTACATATTTGTTTGTCTTTAAAGAACAAATAGAAATGAATCAAATAATTCAGGACGAATTGGTTATTTTGACTCACTCGTATGGTTCCACTTGACCGAGTTCACTTGGAAACCCGGAGAGGGTGTGTAGCTCAATGTGCAAGGATCCCCGGGCTCGACGGAGACGTCAAAGAGCTTCACAGTGTCGCCGCCACTCGCCGCCAGTAAAGCCATTGATGGATCCGTGAAATTCGTGATCCTTCTCTTCAACTGATTTAGAGAGAGAAAGTGTGTGCGTGTGTTCCAGATGGAAAGAGGTTTTGGTTAGCAGTATTGTCGCACAAAAATTCGACGTTTTGTTAAACATCAGATTGTGAGATTGTTGGAATGAATTGTGACTGACTGCATTTGATCATTTCTGATTCTGATGTTTGAAAACCCTACCTCTGTGTGTGCGTCGGTGTGTGTGTGTGAGAGAGAGAGGGGGGAGAGGGACGGAAATTCAAAAAAATGTAGAAAGTGGGCCGAGGTATTCCTTGTAATACCTCATAATGGCAAAACCGTTAACCATCGTTTCTTTTCGTTCCATTTCCTTTCCTTCTCCCTTCCCTTGTAATACCTCATAATGGCAAAACCGTTAACCATCGTTTCTTTTCGTTCCATTTCCTTTCCTTCTCCCTTCATTTCCTTTTCTTTACACTTTAATCTAAAAAGCATTTTTGCACTTGAAATGTGTGCTTTTGACAACAAAAATTTAAAATTTAAAAAGAAAAAGAAAATAAACCCATTACAAGTAGTCTTTTTTTTTTTTTCAATTTTTTTTGTTGTTGTTTTTTTTTTTAGGCAAATTACACAAATGACCCATCGGGTTTTCAACTTATACATGTAGATAGAAAATGGCCACAATATTACAGAAAGGCCTAAATTAACTATTTATGGTTAGTGGACTGATATGAATTTACATTTTTATTAGAGTTAAACTATTTGTTTAATGAAAAAATATAAAAAATATTTGTGTATTGTTAAAGTTACGGTTTTGCCCCTAACCCATCACCAAGCAGGGATTTTGGGTTTGTGGTTGCCGACAAAAATGGATTTGCAATGGCAATCCTATCGAACCTCGTCGGAGAGAGACGCCAACTGACCGTCGAGATAAACTGAACCACCAAACCTTCAAATCTAACCTTTTATCACCTACCTTCACGCCGCTTGGGTTTGAATCAAAACTTGGTATGGGTGGTGCCAGAGATTGTAACATCACTACAACCACCGGTCTTGATTTGCAGGTGGCGACCATGGGATTACCAAATCATCATCAATAAATCGATTTGCAGCAATGGCGGCGGCGACATAATTTCATGCCTTCAACGCGCGCTAGTAACTGCAAATACCCTCATGCCACGGTAATCGTCTTCTTCCTCAGATTGCCAATTTTTTCCTCCACATCTCTCCATCAAAAACCCCAATTTTTCAACCCAAGAAGGCTAAGGATGATTCTTGACTTCCATTCCCACCAAGATTAGAGTACGATCCTGTCTTTTTCCATCAGCGGCGCGTTGTTGGTGGTGAGAGTTAGGATTGGGTGATGGATGAGCAGAGGGGCATTGCAGCGTTAGAGAAGAGAGTTAGGGTTACAGTGTTGGTGTGGTGGGATTTGGGTGATGGATGCGCATGACTAACGGGTGGAGTTGAGAAGGGGTGAATTGGGGATGATGATGATGATCTGCCATTGCCAAAGCCGGATCCTTCTCGCCGTGCACTTCCGCAGTTCATCTACAGCCGCAGCGGCCGCGAGTCATCCATGGCGATTCAGTTCTACTGTCGTTCCGAGCCATCGCTGTATTTCACTGCCGAGAGTCTTTTTGCTCGGCGGTGTTGTCGTTGTTCGCAATCGTGTGGTCGACCTACTTACCACAGCCTATACCCGATAAGGGCATTGAACATGCCAGGGCAACAGAAACACACCAGTCCGATAAGACCCATGGGGTGAATTGTACCGAAACATGGATGATTTTCCAGCAATTTGGCTTGGCGTCGTCCCAACTTCTTCGTCTCCTTGGAAACGCATAATTCGATTGATGTGTTCAGAGAGACAAAAGAGGAGTGATGTGGTAGGGAAGCCATGGGGTGTACACAGGGGTAAAAATGAAACTTCCCAATCTACAATGTCTTTTAATTTTTTTTATTAAAGATAAATATTTTAATTTTAAGGTCAGGAATGTAAATTTATATTAATTTTTTGTTGTCAAACAGTCAATATGCACCTTTTTGTAATATTGTTATAACTTCAATCTACATACATAATATAGAAACCTCGTGGATAGTTTGTATAATTTGCCCTTTTTTTACTAACGTATCCCAAAATGGGGGTGATTGCTCCGTCCCCACTAATATTTTCTCCTCTTTTAAATTTCGTTGGATGGCATCTTTAAAATATTTTGTAATTCTCATATATTTAAATTATTGCAAAATAAAAAAAGATTTAACAAAATCACACAAGTAGTATTAATATATGTGTTTGTATGTCCCCTATTAGCCTACTGTCACGTGCCTAGAGATTTGGCGCAGCGGCACGGCCCGTGCGGTATCAAGGCTTTGCTTCAGCTCGCGCAAGCGCCCTGGTCAGCCACCACGACCTGCCCTCCCAAGGATACATGCTGACTGGTTTTGACCTGTCTTGGTCTCATCAAGGGAACGGCTCTAGCTCCCAACCAGTTTGTGCAGGGATAGCCAACTCCCTTCTTCATAGTCAAGTCTACGATTAGCGACAAGCACCTCGAACTGAACCGAGTCGACCTGCCTGAACTCTGAAGAGGTACCATCTTGTGGTCCTACACGCCCCTTCCCTGGAACCATTCCCAGTCAATGAATGTTCTTAGCCAACCAGCATGTGTGTCTTCTATGCTCATGGCGTCGTTAGGAATCACAACGTGACATTCTCCCCCACCCAAATCCTGTAACACCCTCGTCGCAGTGCGGCGCTGACTCCACTGCGTCCAACATTCCAAAGTCTCTATCCTCCAAGTGGTATGCTCGTCTGCCCACCATCGATTCCTTGTACAACCCCGGTTGCACTCGCCTAATGATAGGGTTTCAGGCTAAAGGGACGCCCACTTCTTCAGGACGCAACCTCACGTTATGCCACCTCCGCGACACCCCGAGCAAACAAGGGCCCTCCGACTGACTTGATACCCGCCCTTCGCAACGGTTTGCATGCCTCTTGAACTTGTAAGAACTTTGGTGGGCGCGGTCCTCCGGCCATCCGATGCGTGCGGCCCTTCGACTTCAAAGGACGCATCTTCCTGGGGAGATGGAGGCTCTCCTCCAACAACATTGATTACCCACCGACGCTTTAGTGCACCCACTTCATTCTCAAGACCCCCGGATCGACAAGGGGGCATACCTCTGTGCTTTACCCCAAGTCCTGCTCTGATACCATTTGTCACGGGCTTAGAGATTTGGCGCAGCGGCACGGCCCGTGCGACACCAAGGCGTTGCTTCAACTCGCGCAAGCACCCTGGTCAGCCACCACGACCTGCCCTCCCAAGGATACATGCTGATTGGTTTCGACCTGCCTTGGTCTCATCAGGGGAACGGCTCTAGCTCCCAACCAGTTTATGCAGGGATGGCCAACTCCTTCTTCATAGTCAAGTCCACGACTAGCGATAAGCACCTCGAACTGAACCGAGTCGACCTGCCTGAACTCTGAAGAGGTACCATCTTGTGGTCCTGCACGCCCCTTCCCTAGAATCATTCCCAGTCAATGAATGTTCTTAGCCAACCAGTTTGCGTGTCTTCTATACTCATGGCGTCGTTAGAAATCACAACGTGACACTATGCTAGTTTACGTTGTCCTCACCGAGAAAGATGTTGCACGATGCAACAGCGGCAAAAAAGTTTTTCTCGTCCTCATCACTGAAATAACTCTGATCGAAAATGATCCGAGTCTCTCTCTTTCCTTTTTCTCTTTAGGATTATATAATGTTTTGCATGGTAGACAAACTCCTTAATCATCTTGAAACAACAACCAATTGAGGTCATTATTTCATTTTAAAATATTTTAACTATTAATAAAATTCAAGAAAAAAGGTATTATTGGTAAAACAATTTAAAGACTACAACTAAAGGTGCTGGAAAGCTGAAGTGCAAAATTGAGTGACATCAACTCTTTAGAAAATAAAGTATTACAATTATTAATAAAATTCAAGAAAAAGGTATTATTGGTAAAACAATTTAAAGACTACAACTATACAACTATAGGTGTCGGAAAGTTGAAGTACAGAATTGAGTGACATCAACTCTTTAGAAAATAAAGGAGACGAGTGACTAATTTGGTTCTTGGTACGTCTAATCAATGAAAATTCAATTTTTATTACATGGTGGGATCAATTTGATGAATTTTGGCATATACATGGGCTCACCCAATATCTAAGTTGTAACTGCCTAAAGGGGGCTGCTAGAACCCAAATTTTGCTCTAAATATGGCTACTTTAAAGTGAAGTTAATTTATCCTCCTACTGTTAATAAAATGAAATAAATAAAATATTTTTGCTCCTAGAACAACTAATATGGTAATCAGTTAAGGTACGCTGTGAGAAGCAAAAGTAATTTGATCTTGTAACGATATCACTAAGTGGGCTGAGAGAAGCAAAAGAAAATTTGATCTTGAAAAAAACATACTATTGCAAAAGCTGATATTTATATATACTTCTTGTGTTTATATATATATATATATATACATACATACATATAATCCTTCTTGCTACTCTATATATATATACACACACACATATGTATATAGCAGTCATAGTTGAGGAGAATAATTAGTTTTCTTCCCAAATTTGATATTTTAATTCATTCCTTTCACGTGAGAAAATTAATTTACTTTGTAGGAAACCATGCCCTTACTTAATTCAAGTAGCATCTCTTCCTGTTCAAGCCTCCATTGGAACATCTCAAGTGTGTACCGAGTTGCATGTGCTCCTCTAAACTTTGATAACATGATTGGCACACATGCTTGTAGCATTCACAGCCAGAAGCATCCCCGTTCCATGGCCAACAAAAATTTTGCACTCAGTCTGATGCACCTCAAATGGCTTCGAACCAAAGATATTCAACGTAACTGGTGAATAGTTATTGCCCTAGCAGACAGAATATAATCACATAAAAGCAGTTGAAAAATTCGACCCATTATGCATTAGTCACCGATGATACCAACAAGGCATCATAAAGCAAACACGGCTGTAACAAAGGCTGTAAAAGTCTAGCACAATAAAGGAGTCCTTAGAAGTCAACGGGCGTATTTTGGTGTCTACAATCCAAAATCACAACTACCTGCTACCAAACAATATGTATGTACATCAACCTGTCTTAGTGCTACTAGGAAAGAAGTAAAAAGAGGATGATTAAATATATGGGTTCTGCAACTCTCCAAATAGAATTTCCCTCGCAATCTGCGACTGTGAAACTCTTTGATTTGTGTTGAATTAACAGGATGTACTAAGCATGATACGGGGCTCACCGGTCCTATAAGACGAAAGGAAATTCTGAGACTGGCAACTTCACTTTAGCCTCTGCAAAAGAGAAATATAGGGTTGTCATTTGTCAATGAAATAGAAATGTATGCTTGAATGGTTCAGTGCAGCACTGCAACCATTCAATCAATGACCAAAGCAAGTCAAGGAAATCTAGCAAAATTAACAAAGGGGTTAATAAACCCTAATTATCTCCGCGCCCCACCCCGTCCGTCCTCCTCCTTCGCTTCTTCCTCTTATGTATATGGATATGTGCCTGTGTTTATGAGCCCAACTGATCTAAATAGTAGGGTACTTAAGCCTAGTATTGCTAGAATAGTGATCTAAGACCAAGGGTTGACCTCAAGCATATTTGACTAGTGAATGAGCGGCAGCCTGAACAATATCAAGCCAAAAAGAAGATGTTCATGAATAGCTAAATCAATATGCAGCCCTAACAAGTAAAAACACAAAAAAACAGCTGTAATGTCACCTAACATAAAGACGAACACCCACACCTATTTCTTGTTCAAAGAATCCATAATCCAAGAAAAACCAGATTCACCGCCATGCGAAATCCTGGTCTGATCCTTCCAAACATGGGAAATAGGCACAATGATTGTTTGTGTATAACAAGACCTGCTTCAAGGCACCTGAAGATTTTTGGTTAATTGTTGTTATTGGACGAGGATGAGGTTATACCATGTTTTTCTTTTTCCTTTTTTCTTGGAAAAGGAGTTCTACAAAACCAAAAAATGCAACACCAAAGACCATTGATTCCCTAGTTTGCAATTCATGTCAAACGAGGAATTAGCAAGCCCGACAAACACGATCTTGAACCATAATCTATGCAGGTACATCAACCAACAAAGTAAGAAACCATTTAGTTGGTAAAGACACACAAGTCTTAGTTTATTTTTTGCTGTGCAGCACATAAGTGGCTCGAACCCATTTGATTCAATCCACTCATATTCATTTTGAACCAAGTTAATAGCATGGTGCGTGTGTAGCAAGAACAATGAATAACATGATATGTAAATCATTGACAAAATTCTTCAACTTCTTTCAACAAATTTAAATTTATTCAGATATTTAGAAATTTATTCTCATTATAAGACAACTAATGATACCCCAAGTTCTCATATTGCTGGACAAATATGGTGCAAGTGGTTTCTTGCAAAGAGAAACAATATGAAGTTTAACAGTCACAGCTACCCACCAAGAATTGGTTCTCACAGAACAAATGGATCATTTATGTGAAAACTCAACCCAGCCAATAGAAACCACTAACTACTTGAAAACAAGACCCACTCTCAATATCTTTTCATGAAAGACGAGAAGACCATGTTGCTGAGAATATTCGCTGCAACTGTACATGCCAAATGAGGGTACAATTTTTCAAGGCATTCAATAACTAATTAATTGTTGTTATATGCCTGTATTAATGATTTAACAGAAGGGAAGTAAAATTAAAAGTTCAAACAAGATCACCAAGATAATGAAGTTAATCAACATATTGAGCTGACCTTGGTGAAGTAGAGAGGAGTAGATGCACCAATCACATCTTGTTGGACATCATAAACTTGGATTTTTTTTCTGCTGGCTTAAGAATTTGGAACGAGCACATCAAGTTTTCATCCACAATCATCATAGCACCAGCATTATCGAACTCACCACAGTAATTGGGGGCTGAGAATATGGTTACAAGTTGTCTATCAGCAAAGAATTCATAACCGTCTTCGACAACCTAAAACAAAAGAAGTATGTCAGCAACCAGAATGGGATTCAGAACAACACAAAAGAAAGGAGTCAATAACCTGATGGGCTCGACAAACAAGGTCTAAATCATGCTTGGTTAGGAACTCTGTCACCTTATCAGCGCCAAATGTGAATGAAACTCCTCTGTCATTCATTCCCCATCCCTTGACATCTTTGACATCTTTACCAGGATCCGACCAGAGTAAATCACATAGCAAACCAGTATCAGGAATAGCAGTTGGACGGGGTAAGTTTCTAATCTGATCTAAGTTTGAAAGATCAGGGGAAAGGCCACCATGCATGCACAATATTTTGTCATCAATGAGAGCCGCAACAGGAAGACAATTAAAACAGTCAGTGAAGGCTTTCCATAATTTCACATTAAACCGGCGCTTACATTCATCATAAAATCCATAAATGCGATTAATAGAAGCACATTCATGGTTCCCTCTGAGAAGAAAAAAGTTCTCTGGATATTTAATTTTATAGGCAAGCAAGAGACATATTGTTTCCAAACTCTGCTTGCCACGATCTACATAATCGCCTAGAAATAGATAATTAGCTTGAGGAGGAAAACTCCCATATTCAAAAAGTCTTAATAGATCACTGTATTGCCCATGAATGTCACCTGAAATGATAAAGTAACAATTACAAGGTCAGAAATCATAATAATCACAAGACACTTAAAAGAATAATCATCATAGACCCATCTAACCTATGTGCAGCAGAGAGCAAGATAGCCCCTTATTCCAAAGTGATACAGACCTTAAATCAAATCCTTAACACACTCTCTGATCATTTTTAAGTGTAATCTGTGGCTAATAACCTCAGGATGATGTGCTTACTGGAACAAAGTCTACTCAGTTTAGTCATGACTACATTGACCTTGAACCTTCAACCAAAACTTGTCTTGCCCGAATTTGTTTCATGTTAATCAGAAAAGGTGACTTACAAGGTTTATAAGCACAAGTTACTCGTGAGCGGGCATCAATATCATAACACAGCTTTCAAAACCATTATCCATAACTAACTGTGTGAAAAGCCTGTGAACTTCTCAAAAATTGTAAGGCCCTCAACGACTAGCTCCTCACCTGCTCCTTGTCCCATTTTCATTTATTTATTTATTCTGTAACAATAGATTCTCGAAAAATCCAACAGACAACGTTTTCAAGAAGAAATTAATCTCCATAAACATTTTCAGAGAACAAAATTTATAACTATTTTCATTAGTATGACAACAAACTGGACAATGGGCTTAAAGCAGGAAATACGAGCACAGGGATCTTTAAAAAATAACTACGAAACTGAAAATTTATCATTAAATGGACACTAAAAGCATGCAAGTAGATGCATGAATGCAACCAAAATGAATCACAATTCAAAATCAAATATCATGTGGATCTCGGGAAAAATCATCCTTAGTTGATTTAAGTTAAACACACACATATATAAACACTAGTACATCCCCCAAATCTAATGAATTAAATCAATTCTGAAGACCCTTTTATCCCCAGATGCTCCACTATACGTTCCCACTACTACTATATTCTGATTCTGTGAAAAAAAATATTCCCCACAAAATGGACTCATTCATGTGTTCTGGATGCTGCTGTGTCTATAAACACTGAGTTCAGTAAAATCTCCAAACCAAATGTTGGTTAGCTAAGAAGCATGGACACGTACGACACGGACATATGCCGACACATCAAATTCTAAAAAAAGTAAGACACGGACGAGGTGGAAACACGACAAATAAAAATAAAATTTTTTATTTATACATCTACTGAATGAGACAATTAGAGAACTTTAATTAATTTATAATTTCTATACTAAAGTTACATAAGTAATAAGATGAAGCTATTCGAATATCAAAACAATATACCATGTTATATATGATATTACTATCATATCTTATCAATATTAATTTTTGTTCATTACATACTGTGACATGTGTTTAATGTCAATTTTTAAAGGAAAAAAGGTTGGACACTTATATGTATGTTCATAATGTTGTATCCATTGTCATGTGATTATTTTATATAAGATGAAAAGTGTGGAATGTGTCGGTCGAGTGTCTTGAATGTGTTGACAAAGTGTTGAGATGCATCAACCAAGTGTCCGAAATATTAAAAATTATTTTAAAATTATTTACACGGCTATGTCCAGGAGTGTCCATGAAGGATCGGTGTCCAATACGGTGTCTGACACGGACACGGCACTTCATAGAAGTGTTTGTGACTCTTAGCTGGTTGGAATGACTTCTATTATTTTTTATGGAAAATCATGTTATCGGGTAAATTATATTGTTTAAAATCACACTTCGCTTGTTTTGATATAATGACATTGGAATAGGAACATACTTATCAAAAAAAAAAAAAAAATCGTAATAGGAACATAATAAACTTGAATCATCAAAAATACTTGTTAGGTGCATGTCTGACTAGACATGCCATAACATAATATCCCATAACTATACCTATACTCTGTACTTCATCCCTCCTTCATTAGCGTGCTAAAAATCCAAAGTAAAATAAGATGAAATGGATGGCACAAGATCATTTAATATTCTACAATGGCCAAATGTGCCACCAAACCAATAATCAAATAATACGCAGTTGCTCCATATATCCCATAATCCAGTTTTATATAGGGCTCATTCATCTATTAAAGGTGGTAATGATCTATAAGTAGCATTTTGTTAAGTGTGTGCAGATTGCTTTGAAAGTTGAAACCGTGTTTCCCAATTTAGTGACACCATTTGCCAGTGGCGTAAAATCCTACATTTGTCAATCAAACAAGTTTGAAAAAAAAAAAAAAAAATGGTTTACCCATCATTAACACAAGAAGTCACAAAAATGAGTTCAAATGTCAACATGCTGCTACAAACTCCAAAACCATACACAGTATACACCCAACCCGAGCTGTATAGGTTTCCAATCTCTCACTTTTATTGCAGCATTTCTATGTGTTCTCAACAATAGAACCCTATAATATGCAACTGTAGCAGACCACAAGCTACTGGTCTTCTATATCTCATGTCTACATTGCAACTTCATTATTTTTTACAGAAAAATATGTAATGCTTTGAGAAATCAGACTCAATAAAGGACTGAAAACATAAAGAAAAAACACACACTCGCACTGTCGTTGAAAAAAAAGTAAAATCAATGATAAACCAACTCAAGTCTCAAGCAACAATTACCAATGGTAACTTTTCTTGGGAACCCAACTGCTATTATCTCCAAAATCATATTCCAACACAAACCCACCAATATATACGTGTGTGTGTGTTCTGCTGAAAGCTACAGCCAAATTCCGAATGAATTCGTGAGTTTTGTTAACATAACGACAATCCAAAATATAAACAGTAACAACACCAGAGATCTAGTAAAGTGTACCACAAATCTTAATGGGGGCTTCGAGCTCGAGGAGGTTGGGCTGTTTCATGAAGATGTCCCGAGAGGCGACACAGAGCTGCTTGATCTCCGACTCGGAGAGCTGGACCAGCTTGCCTGGCTTGGCCAATCGGATTTCTATTAGCCGTTCGATTATCTTGTCGAGAACTGCAGGGTCCATTGGTCCCTGCCCTTGTTTGGTAGATCCTCCGATCGGCCCTCTCACTCCGTTGAATCAGATGAAATGAAACCCTAGATATCAAAAAAGGAGTAAGATTTTTCTCTTTTCTTTTTCCTCTTCTTCTTGGTCTCTTATGTTTCCTTTGTTGGTCGGCTTCTTTTGTTCAAACGAGAGAGTGTAGAGAGCGTGTCATATCGTAATTAATTTACAAAATGATTTTATAGATTTCAAAGCATGAAAGTGGGCTGCATTCTCTTTCTCTATAAACATATAGTACTAGTACCATACGGGTCAAACCTAAAAAACAACCCCTTAATATTTTAATTTTGAACAAATAATACTCATATTTTTTATTTTAGTTATATAAAACTATTAAGTTTTAAAAATTGAACAAATAAGAACTTATGTTGTGTGTATATAAGTCTGTTAAGTTTAAAAAATAAACAAAAATGAATTGAAGTCACTAATAAAATATAAAATTCCAAACACACCATTCTGTCTTCCGATAATGCCCGCAAAGGGAAAAAAAATCCCTATAATATTTATATTTTGGGCAAATAACACTCATATTATTTATTTTGAGTATATAAGTCCATTAAGTTTTAAAAAATGTGACAAAGAATAGTTTGAGGTCATTGTTTCATTAAAAACTTAGTTATGTGCATCGCACATGACATTTTTAAAATATAAAATTTTAAAAATACCTTGGCTTCTTATGGATGCACACTTGTCACATTTAATTAATTTTTTAACTTATTTTTTATTAAGTTATAGAGGGATATTTTAGTCTTTTCAACATTTAGGTCCTTATTTGCACTAAAATTGATTGTTAAGGAGGTTTTAGAATGTATAAAAGGTTATATACTCTATATGTATGTCATAAGAGTATTTTTTGTCCGCAATCCTACATTATATATATATATATATATAAAGGGGTAATTTAGTTATTTCATATTTAAAAAAAAATTACTTATTTTTTTATTAAGTTATAGAATGACATTTTAGTCTTTTGAGCATTCAAGTCCTTATTTACTCCTAAATTGAATGTTATAGATTTTTTAGAACATAAAGGTTATACACTCTATATGTATACCACATGAGTGTTTTTTGCTCTCGACCTTACTATATATAATACGTATATACACAAATATATACCATATATATACATATAATAAATTTGTTGTTTACTCATATAATTTAGATTTGAAATTGTTGGTGAAAATATATTTACCGTTAATAAGTTGAAATAAGAGATATTCAGTACATGATAAAACGTGTTTGGTAAAGTTGGTAAACATGCTTTTACCCTAAAAGAACAACTAGTTAGGTTATTTTTCTTGTTTCGAAACATTGTATAACAAAATTAATTTAATTTTATTTATTTATTGACAGGTGCAACAAATTCAAAATATGTTTATATTTGAGAATAAATTACAATACAACAAAACATTATTTTTCCTTTGCATTAAACTGAAATTGAAAAAGCAGAAATAATTGCCCTTAATAAATGAATATGAATTGAGATTTTAGGTGTTTTTTTGCAACCGCTTTTGTTTTGAATTTTTGTTTTGATCCGAAATAAAAAAAATAACGTTCCATTTTGGAGTGAGCTAAATAATAATTAAAAACGTGTTTGGTAACCGTATATTTCTGCAAGATTTTTGGAACCAAAAATATAAAAACATAATTGATAAAAAAGTGTTACAAATGTGTAATGATATCATTCATTGCTACTGAGTTTTTGTTATACTACAGTAGTAACAAAAAACACTAATTTAGTTTCTTTTTTAATTTTGTCTTTTTCTTTCAAAAACGTTTCAACACTATTTAAATTATAATAAATGTTATCAAACATGTTTTACTTCTACTTCGTAACTTACACAAATATAATACTATATTATGTTTGAATGATGCCTCCCAACATGTGAACTTGAATTGAATTCACGCGTGGACATGAACTCTGTATGGTCAATGAGTTCGACTGTACCTAAGCACATTTCTTTTGTCATTCACACCGTTCAGGGGATTATTAGATGCCAATAAAGTAATACCTTTGGTATTCATTTCTAATGTAAATCAATTAAAGTCATATCTATCCAAATCTTCCTCGCACTAGTGATGTGAAACCATGCCATTTGTAAATAAATATGAAAAAGAAAGTAGTTGTTTGAAAGTTCAAACTAAGATCACATTTTTAACTAACATTAATTAATTAACTTAATTTTTTTATTTGGTGAAGCATTGATTAGTTCAAAGTTCAAGCGAAGAAAGTAGTTGTTTGAAAGTATCAAATGAATAATTCACAATTTCACACTCAAAATAAGCGTATGGGAGGAAGGGATTGGTTTGAAATAGTCCGATTCTGAATAAGAGTGAGAATACAAAATATAATATGAATAATTTGAATAATAATTACAATAATAAAGAAAACATACTTTTTTCCATGTGAATACTTGATTAAACTTCATATAATTAAGTCAACATTGATCTCCATAGAAATTAAAATTATGCTACGTGAATTGATATTTAACTAACCGATTATTTATATGCGATCTCAAGTGTCAAGTGCAAATGTTGGGATGACTCTATATGACGTTTAAGAAGCATGAAAATAGACACAGGATATGAATACCATACAAGACGAATATGCTGATATGCCAATTTTTTAAAAAATAAGACATGGCAACGGACACGATATAAACACAAATAGATTTTCATTTTTAAATCTATAGAATGAGGCAATCATAGAACTTTGATTAATTTAGGGTAAGGTAAGAAAATACACCCTTAATGTTTTAATTTTGGATAAATAACACCCTCATTATTTATTTTGGATATACAACTCTGTTAAGTTTGAAAAAATGAGTAAAGAACTGCTTATGTTGTGTAAATATGTCCATTAAGTTTGAAAATTGAGCAAAAAAGGGTTTGAAGTCACAATTAAGATATAAAATTCTGAAAACACCATTTTTTCTTCCTATAATGCCCTTATAAGGGCAAACTGAGAAAAACACCCCTAATGTTCACATTTTGGACAAATAACGCCCCCGTCTTTTATTAATTTGAGTATATAAGTTACTTAATTTTGATAAAATGTGGCAAAGAATGTCTTAAAGTCATTGTTTCGTTAAAAATTTATTCATGTGCATTGCACATAACATTTTTAAGGTATAAAATTTTAAAAATACCCTTGTCTTTTTTGATAATATCCTTATATATATACACACATTTGTCACATTTAATTAATTTTTTTACCTATTTTTTATTAAGTTGCGAGGGATACTTTATTCTTTTCAGCATTTAGGTCCTTACTTGCACCAAAATTGAATATTAAGGAGGTTTAGAACGTATACGGCATTATATACTCGATATACATGCCATAAGGATGTTTTTTGCTCACAACCCTATACTATATATATAAAAATAAGGACAATTTAGTTATTTCGCATTTAATTAGTTTTTTTTTTTTTAAAATCTATATTTGTATTCAGTTATATAAGAACACTTTAGTCTTTTCAGCATTATAGTCCTTGTTTGCTCTAAAATTGAATGTTAAGAACTTTTTAGAATGTACAGGGGGTTATACACTCCATATGCATATTACATGGTTATTTTTTGCTTGTGACCCATTAATTTATAAATACATTATAGTAAAGTTACATAAGTTAAAAGATGACTTGCTTCGAATATTAAAAAAGACATGTTATATTATATATGATATTATTATCTTATCAATATAGTTATGTTTTTTCTCTTTAGAGATTGAAATATATATATATATATACATATATATATATATATATAAATATAATGCATGTTCATATTGTTGTATTTGTTTTGTATAAAACAAAAAGTGTAAGATGTCTCGGTCTAAGTGGCCGGAATGTGCTGGACCGTGATGTATTGACTAATAATGGTCACCGTCATAAAGTGTCTTACACGTATTTATAGAGTGTCACTGCTGAACTCAGACACATCACCTTACAGGAGTGTTCAAACTTCATGACGTCTGCGTGATATATGTGGGGAGTTGGTTTAGACTAAGTCTGTACATGACATATGTGGAGAGTTAGATTATGAAGTATTTCATACTTGTATTGAAATTATTGAGTTTTTGTAGGGTAGGAAACATTGTATAGTTTATAAAAGTAATAGATTGAAGGACATTTTAAGAAGATTATATGAAGAGTAGAGATTTTTACGGAGAAAGTTTGTAAATATTTATAATATTTTGAATTAAAACTTCTAGGGGATAGACCTTAACATTAGAAAGAGATGATGTCTATAAAGGGTAAGAGTCTCATTTTGAATCATTAATTTGCTTAGAGTTCAGAGTGAGTGTTAACTTGCTAAATAATTTGTCCAGTATATAACTCTCCTTTTTGAATTCCATAGATTAAGAATTATAAAATAGATAATCCATACTCTTAATCTAAGTATCACAAAAATGATTTATTTAAGAATAATGAAATAGGCAATCGACACTCTTAATCAACCAACCACCTACGTTTCCATTTGTTTGGTTGCCCTGGATATCAAAATCATAGGCATAAGTAATCCAGTCATTTGTAACATATTGGAAAGAAAGGGTTTTTGTTTATGAGGAATACAAAATAGCCGCTAAATGGAGAATTCAAATATAAAAAATAAAAATTTGACAAGCAACTGTATACTAATTTTTTTGTTTATAAAATGTAAATAAAGTATTTATTTTTTAACTCTCTCTATATATAGCAACTTAAAAAAATTCATAAAATTTAATCTCTCAAGAGAATTCTAAATTTTTATGTATTTTTTTCCCTCGTGTAAGTAAAGTTAATTCTAAATTATTTATTCGATATGGAACATTTAAAAAAATTGAGAAGAGAGAACACGAATATAAAGTTGCCTAGAGTGCTACAATCCTACAAGGTTCGATGAACAAGTAGAAGAGGAGTCCATTAAAATGATGGGATTGGTGGACAAATCAAATTATAATAGAGCTTTTAGCCAAAAATGCTTTAACTTTGTCATATATATGACTAGCAAGCAATTGCAATCCCAGTAGTTGTGTCCACGTATTTGGCAACTTTCTAATGTCTCCCACTGCCTTTCTTTCTCAGGATTATTAATTCGATTCCTTTGTTACCACTATCACTAAAAAAAAAATAAACTCTGTTGCCTCCGGAGGCGTAGCTGTGATGGTTGGAACTTGGAGGCAGGTTTGAAATAGCTGGTGTTGGACTCTTCCCAAGCCAT